GATAAATATTTAACTTGTGACTTAAATATTTTGTTTTGAGCTAAATATTTAGGTTGCAATTTAAATATTTAATATTTGTGCTGATAGATTTACAGCTGTTTTGATCCAAACTTGCAAATAAATTTATTCACAATCTCAAGCTATAATTATGGCAATAATAATTTCATGTCTTGCCATATGTTTAATGAATAACTCAGCTGCTACCCACACAAAAACATTTGTCTCACATYTGTAAAAATGAATATTTTGCTAATGCCGTGTGGCCGTCGTGGCTATAGGGTCACCTCCAAAAGTTAATGAGTTGCAGTTCTACACTGAATGATTGCTTTCTAATTAATGGGAAAGTGTTAAGCAAGGATCTGGTGCAATAAATGACACAAATAAAACAAATAAAACTGACTCAGTTATAGCAATTTTTATGTTACCAAATGTTCATCAGCTGTGGTGGCCATCTTAAACCTGGCTGATCTAAATAAAAGGCCAAATAAAACAAAAATATTGGTGTTATTTTTTGACTGTTACAAACGGCACACCATAGATGAACATTTAATGATTACTTTCTGAGTTTAATTGAAGTCTGTTTGGTGGATCATGAATTAAATACTAACAGACAGATGAACAAAGGCAAATACATGATTGCTCATGTATAATTACTCATTACAAAAATGTTGTAAATTTAGCAGGAAAAAATAGAATTCATTATTTTAAGAGAAAAAAATGTTGGTATAAATGGATACAACAAGCGTTATAGTGTTAAATTATTGTTAAATTATTTTTAGCCAAGTTTAAGAATTTCAGCTAGAATTTGTTGTGGCTGCAGGTTTTAAAGCAGAAAGGTTCGGGCTCCACTGAAACCAGACTTTTGAGACTGAAGAAAATCCATAAGTTCTTCAAGCTAATGAGATTKATTCATTTCATTATGACAGATTTTTATCTCTGTGGTTGTTGGAGTTAGAGTCGGACATCTTGTCTTCATAAAAACCCATTTTCTATGATCCAGGTCAGTTGATGTGTTTCCAGTAGTGAAGTCCATTGTCCCCTGGCCTTTGGTCAGAAATTACCGGTGGTTTAATGGCAGGAGGTTAACTGGTGTCTGACGTGTTCATCCACTCTACCATTGTCTGGGTCATCTGTTGCCCTGCAAGTTTTACTGTCTGCTCTCTGCAGCACATCCAGTCTTTTTGTGTGTTGAGTAAATCAGTTGTGTGGCAGTGGCTGGCTGGCTCAGAGGGGCACCAGGGACCATAAATGAAACCATAAAGCATCACCATAGTTTTCTTTATACAGCCACTAATGCTGCCTTCATGTACTGTGATCCTCAATTATCTAATCTACCTCTGAATTAACTAATCTTATTCTGGTTTCTGGTATGATTTTGTTCTGCCAAAAAATAAACATAGGGAATAAAACAGTTTTACCGTTGTATATTTTTTCATTATTCACTTTGTCATTGTTTCATGAGGGATCCTGGGGATAAAAACTGGCTTTTTCCGTCATCATAATCTAAAATATTCATCTTTWTGTTTCATTCATATATTCATTACCTGCTTTTATCTAGAATAGAACAATAAAAGGAGTCAGATGGATCTGCAGGCTTCATGCTGTCCTAAAAAAGCAAACAAACCTATAAGACACTACTATTTTACTATTTAAGATACGATGAGATATCATAAGCTACGATAAGATACGATAAGATAAGATACGATACGATAAGATATGATAAGATAAGATAAGATAAAATATGATAAGATAAGATAAGATA